GGGAGGAGGAGGAGGAGGAGGAGTAGGAGGAGGAGGCGGAGGAGGAGTAGGGGGGAGGAGGAGAGGGAGGGGGCGGAGGAGGAGGAGGAGACGGAGGAGGAGGAGGAGGACGAGGAAGAGGAGGAGGAGGAGGAGGAGGAGGAGGAGGAGGATTAGAGAGGAGGGCCAGTGTAAACCCTAGAATGACCAGCGCTATTGCAATACGCGCTCCCTCCAAGGTCCGTCTTCATAGGCCCCTTCAAGCATCCATTTTCATTGAGGGAAGTGCCCCGTTGAAAGACAGTCGGTTGAACACCTGACCTGTCCCAGAATATCATTATTGGGAGGTCAACGCGCGAATTTCCGTTACGCTTGCGCCTCGACGATTTTGAATCGTGCCAGAATTGTCTTCCAGAGACGGCAATTCCGCGAGTCCACATAATTGTTATTTGTTGTGCCCTGATAGTTCGTCGCAGTGCCAACACACCATATCTGGGACGTTCACCGTCAGACACCACGGCATTGCTGTAAACTCGTAGCACGACTGCGCGCGGCGCTCAGACGAGCACGACAGTCGTAAAGCTCTTGCGAGCTCTTACGACGAAGGTGCGCGGTGCTAAGGTGATGCTTCCTTCTCTTCCTCATCCTACCTCTTGCCACTTCCCCGCCTAAGGCTCGTAGGCAATGAGGACGGCTCAGGGGCGAAAGGCCTGGCCCGCCCTGCCGACAGGGGGAGAGTTACATTTCGAGGGGGGAGAGGTGGAGGAGCAGAAGGGGGGCGGAGGAGGAAGGGAATCGGGCGGAGGAGGGGGAAGCGGAGGAGGATGAGGAGGAGGAGGGGGAGGATGAGGAGGAGGAGGAGGAGGAGGAGGGAGGAGGAGGAGGAGGAGGAGGAGGAGGAGGAGGAGGAGGAGGAGGAGGAGGATGGAGGAGGGAGGAGAGGGAGGAGGCGGAGGAGGAGGAGGAGGATGAGGAGGAGGAGCGGGATGCGGGAGGAGAGGGAGGAGGGGAAGCAGGAGGAGGACGAGGAGGAAGAGGAGGAGGAGGAGGAGGAGGAGGAGGAGAGGAGGAGGAGAGTGAGGCGGAGGAGGAGGAGGAAGAGGAGGAGGAGGAGAGTGATGAGGGGAGGAGGAGGAGGAGGAGGAGGAAGACGAGGGTGGAGGAGGAGGAAGACGAGGGGTCATGAGGAGGAGGATGGAAGAGGAGAAAGACGAGGTGGAGGAGGAGGAGGAGGAGGAGGAGGAGGAGGAGGAGGAGGAGGAGGGGAGGAGGAGAGGAGGAGGAGGGAGGAGGAGGAGGAGGAGGCGATGAGGAGGAAACGGATGAGGAGAGGGGGGGAGGAAGAGGAGGAGGAGGAAGAGGAGGAAGAGGAGGACGACGACGAAGGAGACTATGCAGAAGACGAAACAGACGACGATTATCAAGAGGCGGCGGAGGAGGAGGCGGAGGAGGAGAATGAGGAGGCGGAGGGGGAGGAGGATGTTGATGTTGAGGATTAAGATATTGATGGTGATGAGGATGAGGATGATGATGATGATGATGATGATGATGATGATGATGATGATGATGCTGTTGATGATGATGATTATGATGATGATGGTGATGACGATGGTGATCCTTATGATGATGATGCTGCTGCCGCTGATGCTGATGATGAGGATGAGGATGAGGATGCGGATGAGGATGGGGATGGGGATGATGATAATGCTAATGATGATGATGAGGATGCTGATGATGATGCTGATGCTGATGATGATGATGATGCTGAGCATGATGACGATGATGATGATGATGCTGATGATGATGATGATGATGATGATGGTGATGGTGATGGTGATGGTGATGCTGGCGCTGCTGATGCTGATGACGATGACGATGTCGATGATGATGCTGACGCTGATGATGCTGATGATGCTGATGATGACGATGACGATGACGATGACGATGATGACGATGAGGCTGATCATCATAGTGATGGCGATGGTGATGGTGGTGGTGGTGATGATGATGATGATGATGATGCTGATGCTGATGATGAAGGTGGTGATTGGGAGGAGGCGGAGGATGAATATGAGACGGAGAGAGACAAGGAGGAGGAGGGGGGGAAAGGGGGAGGGGGAGGAGGGGGAGGGATGAGGAGGAGGAGGAGGCGGAGCAGAAGGAGGAGGAGAAGGATAATGAGGAGGACGGGGAGGAAGGACGACGATTCGGAGGAGGAGGAGTATGCGTTTGAGGATGGGGATGCTTCTGGTGCTGATGATGGTGATCATGATGATGATGATGCTGATCGATGATGCTGATGATGCTGCCGATGAAGCTGCTGATGATGATAGTGATGACGCTGTTGATTATGATGATGATGCCGATGATGTTGACGCTGGTAATGGCGATGCTGATGACGCTGCTGATGCTGCTGATGCCGATGATGGTGCTGCTGATGATCATGATGATTCCGACGACCAAGAGGATGAGCATGCTGCTGATGATGATGATGATGATGGCGATGATGATGATGATGATGGTGCTGATGCTGATGCTGATGCTGCTACTGCTGCTGCAGACGAATGACGCTGCTGATGATGACCATTATGGTAATGAATACGATGATGATGATGATGATGATGATGATGATGATGATGATGATGATGATGATGATGATGATGATGATGATGATGATGACGATGCTAATGATGATGATTATGATGATCCTGCTGATGATGACGATTCGCGTGTTTATGATGATGACGGCGCTGATGATAATCATTTTGGCGGCGATGGTGATGCTGATGCTGATGATTGTGATGATGTTGATGTTGGATTATGATGAGGTTGATGCTGATGATGATGGTGATGCTGATGGTCATGCGTCTGCTGATGATGATGACGATGATGATGCTGCTGATGATGATGAGGATGATGATAATGGTGATGCTGATGATGATACTGACCATGATGATTGTGCTGCTGATGCTGATGATGTTGCTGATGAAGAAGATGACGAATATCATGATGATGTTGATGCTGATGCTGATGATGACGATAATGTTGCTGATGATGAGGAGGAGGAATAGGAGGAGGAGGAGGAGGAGGAGGAGGATTGCTTAAGGATTGCCCCGACATTGTCTGGAGTGGCCGCCCTTCCAGAATTCTAGAGAACTCGTTTGCTCATCTTAGTCGTGGTTCCGCTCCAGCACACTTACACTTTAGCCGGGCTTCTTATGTGCGCCGACCCCGGCTATGCCCGACACCTGCAGTTGTTGAAACGCAGTATGGGTCATAGGATGCCAGGGACTGGGTCCAATGAGCGACGCGCAATCCCCTGGCCATTAGCACCTGTTGTTGGCGCTTTGGGGCGGGGGGGGGGGCAGGACACATTGAACAAAGCCAATTGTGCAAAACATTGGTGACCGAGACTGTGTTGACCGTGCTGAGACACACAATGCACGTCCACCGAGTCCCATCACTCATAAGGAAGTGTGAGGGGTGGTCCTGGGCGCGGGCAGAGGCGGTTGGCCTTGCCCTACGCTCGGCCCGCGCCACTTCGCGCAGCGTCGATGGTCTCTCCTCCACCTCGAATGCGCACAGGGAGGCTCTGGCAATCCTGAACCTCACACGTGCCAACACCGAGTTTGGCCACTCATGCCATGCGAGCTGGGCTGGCGGGAGCTGGGCTGGCAGGAGGGTGCGGGAAGCAGCGGCAGCAGGTGTGAGATAATGTGCGATCGCCTCACAACCCAGGCCCGACTCCTCTTGGGTCATGTTTCTGCTCGCAACTTTCACACAAGCTGATCCCGGGCCACGCCCGCTCAGTTTTGTGCCGAGGGTAGCCCACATCTCTCCATTCACACCCGCCTGCTGGTCTCAAATGGCGGCCGCGGGCCTACCCACGAAACACATTTTCTTTGTCGGTCCAATACGCCAGCTCTCCTAATCTGTTGTGTAACAAAGATACCAGACTCATCATGTTTCGTCGATTATGTGTTAGGCGCGGGTGAGCAATGGGCCCGGATTCCCCCCTCTCAAGACATGTTGCTCAACTGCGCCCTCCAGCAATCAACATGTCCAGCCTCAACGGCGGTAGCTCGCGTCAGCGGCCTCGGGGCCGCCGCTGCCGTTTCCACTGGCGAAATGCAAACATGTGGATGATGCTGATGATGATGATGATGTTGTTGTTGCTTTTGGTAAGGATGAGGATGATGTTGATGATGCTCAAGATGATGACGATGATGCTGCAGCTGCTGATGATGACGATAAAGGAGATGATGCTGCTGATGGAGAAAATGGCGCTGCTGCTGATGATAATGATGATGATGCGCTGCTTCTGCTGCTGATGAGGAGGCGGAGGAGGTGGAAGAGGAGGAGTTGAAGGAGGAGGCGGATTATGATATTGATGTTGCTGGTGATGATGATGATGGTGATGATGCTGATGATGATGTTGTTACTGCTGGTAAGGATGATGTTGCTGATTATGCCGGTGATGATGACGATGCTGCTGCAGGTGATTCTGAAAAATATGATGATGTTGCTGATGATGATGCGCTGCTTATGCTGCTGCTGCTGATGATGATGATGAGGAGGAGGCGGAAGAGGCGAAGGAGGAGGAGTTGAAGGAGGATGCAGATGATGGTGATAATGATGCTGATGATGCTGATGATGATGATGACCATGTTGCTGATGATGATGATGCTGAGGCTGATGATGCTGACGATGATGACAATGATGCTGACGATGATGATGATGATGATGATGATGAGGAGGAGGAGGAGGAGGAGGAGCAACGAGAAGAGAAGCAAGGACAGGAGGACGAGGCTGAGGCTGATGCTGATGATGCTGCTGATGCTGATGATGATGATGATAATGATGATGATGATGATGAGGAGGAGGAGGAGGAGGAGGAGGAGGAGCAACGAGAAGAGACGAAAGGACAGGAGGAGGAGGAGGAGGATTAGTTGGAGGAGAGTAAGGACGAGGGGGTGGAGCAGTCCGTCGCGCCGCTGCGCCACGCGGCGACTCTGCGGGAGGCGCCGCTCCCTCGGCGGGCGGCGGCGGGGCGGAGCCCACGGCCGCAGTGGAAGAGGCGGCCGACGCCGTCGTCGCTGCTGCCGTCGCCGCCGCCGCCGCCGCCCCCGTCGTCGTCCTCGTCGCCGCCGTCGTCGCCGCCGTCGCCGCCGCCGCCGCCGTCGTCGTCCTCGTCGTCGTCGCCGCCGCCGCCGCCGCCGCCCCCGTCGTCCTCGTCGTCGTCGTCGCCGCCGCCGCCGCCGCCGTCGTCGTCGTCGTCGTCGTCGGCGTCGTCGTCCTCTCCAGCGTCCTGGTCCTCGTCGGGGCCGCAGCATAGGCTCTCGTCCTTTGTGCCTCGTGCCGCGTCCTCCACGCCTCTCCTCTCCCTCCCCCTCCCCTCTCTCCCCCCCCTCTCGCTTCTCCCCTCCCCTCACCTCCCCTCCCCTTCCCTCCTTCCCCCCTCTCGCTTCTCCTCGCTCCTCATCCCCTCCCTCCCCTCCTCCCTCCCATTTCGCTCCTCCTCGCTCATCACCCTCTCCTTCCCTCCCTCTCTCCCTCTCATCTTCCGTCCTCCACGCCCTCCCCTCGTACTCCCTCCTTCCCTCCCTCCTCCCTGCCCCCCCCCCCCCTTGCCCTCCTGACCCGCTGCGCTCCCCCCCCCGCTTCCTCGCCGCGCGCGGCCCCGTTGACCGCGTCCTTCCTGCGCCCCTCGATCCTCGCTGCCCCCCCTCGCTCCTCGACCCTCCTCGCTCCTCGACCCTCCTCGATCCTCGATCCTCGATCCTCGATCCTCCTCGCTCCTCGACCCTCCTCGACCCTCGCGCCCCGTCGGGCCCTCGCGACCCTGGCGCGCCCTTTCGGGCCCTCGCTCCTCGACCCCCGCCCCCCCCCCCCCGCCCCCTGGGGAGCCCCGCCCCCCCCCCCCCCCGCCGCGGAGAGGTGGCGCTGCCCGACGGCGCCCGCCTGCCGTGCGAGGCGCTGGGCGACGCGGGAGCTCCGCGCCTGGCGCGGGGCCCGGGCGGCGCCGCCGCCGCCGCCGGCGGCGCCGCCGCCGCGGCTCTGGGAGGGGGCCCAAGTTTCGAGTTTCGAGGCTCGGTGCGGTCGGAACGGGTGCCGCCGCCGCCGGCGCGGCTCTGGGAGGGGGGCGAAGTTTCGAGTTTCGAGGCTCGGTGCGGTCGGAGCGGGTCCGGGAAGAATGGCTACCCGGGCCTCCTGCCCTGGCACGTCGAGTAAGGGATTGGCCGTTTTCGGTTCGCGAGAGGGCGTCGCGGCCGTCCTGTTGGCGGGTCCAGGTCCGTCGGTTCCTGTCCCAGGCCGTTTTCACTAAGGGGAGGTCTACTAGAGGGAGGCTTGTCCACCGCCGATAGATGTGTCGGAGTAGATGGGGTCGGAGGATCGTGCCGCATCGCAGATGCATCGGCGATGCATCGGCGATGCATCGGCGACGCGGCTCGATGTGGGGCCCAAGTTTCTCCATGCCGACGGCGCCGATGCATCGCCGACGTCGCCAGTGCATGGCCGATGCATCGCCGATGCATCGGCCATGCATCGTTGATGTATCGGCGATGCGGCGAGATCGTCCGGCCCCATCTATTCGGTCCGGAAAGCAGGGGTACGGAGGCCGACAACAGTTCTTGTCCCCTTGGAGCAGGACTTGCTGTCGGTGTTCCAGCGGTCGTCGTCGTCCATGTGTGACAGAAGGCCGCATGCCCAGCAGCGGGCGCTGTCGGTTGTGGATGAAGTGTGTTGGTGGGCATCGTGCCTGGTTTCTCCGCACCCCGTACGGGCGTCCAAAAGCGCGTCTCCGGGATGTGGAGGGTAGTTTCGAGTTCCGAGGTTTCCTGAGGTCCGGGCGTTGCAACTTTCTTGCAGCGGTAAGTTTCGCGCGGTCTCGATCCCTAGGGCCATCACAGATCGATCCGATTCGACACACGACGCAAAACGACGGGATCTTTGGGCGCTCCGGTCGTGATTTTCCATGAGGTTGATTCTTTTGTCGCAGCGCCGCGTTAGGGTCCGAGGTGTTCAGATGTTTTTCGTCGATTCTCGGCGATCTTCTCGCCTCGGGGTACCTTCCAGGGGCTGCGCCTCGTCAAGGGCCCTCCGGGGATGCCCAGATCGCCCCGGACGCACAGTAGAGGCCCGAGTTGTGACCTGAGAGCCGCCAGGGTTGCCAGGTGCAGCGGGGTTAGGACGAGGATCAAATCCGTTCCAAGGCCGCGACGTCCGAGACATCCTCCAGAGCCGCCGGATCTCAGAGGTTCTCGGTGTATCCTAGCCTGATGTTATCCTCGTCCCGGCTTGGTCTTCTCCGGGGGCCCTCGAGATGTTCTGATGTTGTTGCAGTTTCGCTCTGATGTCCTTGCAGTTTCGCCCTGGTGCCGAATCTGTTTCGTTTTCGTTTCAGTTTGTGTCTTTCTCGATTTACGGTCTTTTCCTGTTTCGTTCTGACTTCGTATCGATTCCTGTCACGTGTTTGTCCCATAAAGAATCCTAGAGCGAACATGGAAAGACATTGAAACGAGATCAAGAGTGTGTGCATCATGGATGGGTCCTGTGACCTTCTACCTCACGCCGCCGTCGCCGTCGCCGTCTCCGTTGTCGTCGTCGTCGTCGTTACAGTTGTCGTCGTAGTCTGTCGCCCGTCGCCTTCGCCGTCGCTGCCGCGCGCCGTAAAAGAGAGGGATTGAGAAGGGGTTGGAAAAGCGGGGTGGGGAGGGGGGAGTACTGTACTGCTTGCTGATGGAGGAGGAGGAGGAGGAGGAGGAGGGGAGGAAGAGGAGGATGGAAAGAGCAGGAGGGGAAGAGGGGAGGAGGAAGAGGGGGGGGGACGTTGGACGAGGGGGAGAGCAGGAGGGGAAGAACAGGATAGGGAAGAGCAGGCGGGGAAGGTGGACTGGGGAAGGGCAGGAAGGGGCGGCGGAGGAGGGGGTGGGGCGGGGGGCAGTGGAGGCTCTGCAGCTCTTTGCGACCTTTTGGGCCCCTTTGGCTGCCCAAGTGGCCCTCGTCGCCGCCATGACGTGATCCGCCGCGGAGTTCAGGTCAGATCGCACTCCATGAGAGGGACCCAGGTCACGTAGGCTTTGTCACAAAGCCCACGTAGGCGGAGTCCAGCTCACACGAAGCCTTCGTGTAAGCTGGAGGACGGGGAGGACGAGGAGGAAGGAGGAGAAGAGACGAGACAAAGGAACACGCAGTGTGTGTGTGTGCAGTAGAAGGAATGGGGGACGTGTAGGAGGAGGAGGAGGAGGAGGAGGAGGAGAAGGAGGAGGAGGGGGAGGAACAGGACGATGAGGGAGGATGAGGAGGGAGGAGGATGCGCAGGAGGAGGAGCAGGACCAGGAGGAGGAGGGGGAGGATAAGGAGGGGGCGGGAGGAGGATATGCAGGAGGAGAAGGAAGAGGAGGAGGAGGAGGAGGAGGAGGAGGACAAGCAAGAGTAGGAGGAGGAAGAGCAGGACGAGGATGAAGAGGAGGAGCATAAGGAGGAGGTGGAGGAGGAGGATGGGGAGGAGGAGGCGGAGAAGGAAGGGGGTTGTGGCCAGGCCGAGCGTGGGCTCGGGCATGCGGTGGCGGAAGCGGCACGGACGTCGTGTTGCCCCCGGCTGTTGCTCGAGCCAGATTTCCTTGGCAGGCGCCAGCAAGAGGCCAAATAAGGATTGCGAAGTGTGACGGTGTGGCTGCGGGACGCCCCCGTAGAGCCGTATAGCCGCCTGGTCCGCCAAGGCCGTGGGCGGTGAGGACCCGACGACCACGAGGTGGATGCTGGGGATGAGGAGGAGGAGGGGGAGGATGAGGTGGAGGTGGCTCAGGATGAGGTGAAGGAGGAGGAAGATGACGAGGAGGAGGACGAGGTATAGGAGGAGGGGAGGAGGAGGAGGAGGAGGAGGAGGAGGAGGAGGAGGGAGGAGGAGGAGAGGAGAGGAGGAGGAGGAAAGGGAGGAGGAGGAGGAGGACGAGCAGCAGGCCCCTCCTCCCCCATTCGCCTCCCTGCTGCCTCACTGGGGCGGCGGAGCGAGCGACCCGAGGTCTGGGGCCACGGCCTGGGCGCCGCGCCCACCTCCCGCCGCCGGCTTCCCGCCCGCCCGCCGCCTCCGCCGGCCGCTGCCGCCGCCGTTGCTCGGACGAGCGGGAGGTCGGTACGGTATCAGAGCCCCGAATCATCAGGGGTAACTCGGGTCAGGGATAACTCGGGTTCGTTTTTCGGGAATCCGAACCCGAGTTACCCCGGACCCGAGTTACCCCGGATAACTCGGGCGTCCAGAGCCCCGAATCATCAGGGGTAACTCGGGTCAGGGCTAACTCGGGTTCCTTTTTCGGGAATCCGAACCCGAGTTACCCCGGACCCGAGTTACCCCGGATAACTCGGGCGCCCAAGGTTTGCGTCGTGTCGACCAGCGGCGACCCCAGCGCGGGCGTTCAAGGTTGAGCGCCGCCGGCGACCCAGAATCGATCGACGTTGAACGATCGGACGTTGCGGCAGCGGCCGATCGTTCAAGGTTGAACGATCCCTGCGGTGTGGGGAACCAACGCCAGGGTCGACACGGCACGGACCTGCAGTACGATCTTCGCAATGATGTCTCGCCTCCGTCCGTCCTGTGCCTCCAGCGCACCAGCCGCATCTCCCACATCGGCCTGCTGTGGTCAGAGGGGCGTGTCCACGTTCAGGGGGGGAGGTAGCGGATATCATCTGGGTTGGAGGGGACAGGGCGGGGTGGACTTACTTGCTGGCCGTGGTGGAGGCACGCTCTCTCTTTGCTACCATTCCGGCCCCTTCGCTTGCGACGAGGCAGGCGGGCGACAGCCGCCTGCTCTCACTGATGTTTCAAGCCGGGGCTTTGCGGCATGCCTAAGAAGAGATCGGTACGATCGAAGTTGGTACGGAAAGAAAGGGTAAGACAACCGAGAGCAGTCCTGGTCATTTTGACCAGGACTCGTTGTAGGTGTCTCCGCAGACGTTGTCCATTTGAGACAGACGGCGGGCTGCCCAACAGCGGCCGCTGTCGGTGTGGGGCAACATTTAATGTTGGGTATCGCGCCCATGTCTTCCGTACCATTTCCAGCGCCCAAAGGCCCAAGGAGACTTTCGGTTTGGGCCTCCCATCGGGGAATGCACAATGACACAAACATGAACTTTTGGAGGTCCGCGCAGATTTCTCGGATCGGCGCTGGATTCCCGGCCTTTGGCCTATCCCTCCACCGTGCCTGAGATGTGGGTCGTAGGCTTCTTGGATGTTCGTGGAAGGATTTCGGGGTCCTGTTTGAGGCAGTTTTGAGGTCTCTTGGGGGCTGTTTTTGGTGCCTCTTCAGGCGTCTTGGGGGCCTCCTGGGTACCTCTTGAGGCCTCCTAGGGGCATCTTCGGGCGGAAAGCTTAAATTTGCTGTTCGGGCTCCACCTCTTTGGTCCAGCTTGAGGTCGTGTTTGGGCTCTCTTGGGCCGTTCGGGGCTCCTCATGCGCCGTCTTGGGTCCCTTTTGGGGGCGATCTTGGGGGTTTCTTGAGCCGTTTGGAACGCAGTGAAGCCGAAAAGTCGTAGATGCGTTTCCCCGGGGCAATTTGACGTGTTTTGCCTCTTGGGGCCTCTTCGGAGGCCTCTTGGGCCTCTCCGGGGGGGCACCTCTTCAGCCGCCTTCAGGCCATTTTGGGCGTCTTGGTTCGATCGTTCGGCAATTCGCGGCCCTCTTGGATCGTCTTGGGGACCTCTTGGGGTTCTCTTGGCCCGCGTCGTTGGGTCCTTGAGGCTCCGAACAATTCATGCGACAAGACGCGACAAGCCGCGGGAGATTTGGCAATTTGGGCTCTGGGCCCCTGGATTGAGGACTGGGGCTTCAGGGACGAGGCCGAGGGCCTGAGCACATTGAAGCGAACGCTTGCTGTCGCTACTGGCAGACCCCCCCTCCCAGTTCGAACCAGTGGGGGGGGTAACACAATCGCAAATTCCGAACCCGTGGGCGGGGACGGATCCCCCTCCCATTTCGAACCGGCAGGGGGGGAGGGGGCAGGGGTTTGGAGCCTCCCGCCCCCTGGGCGTTCGGACCAGGGCGGGGGGAGCCCCCCCCACCCCCTGGTTCGAAGCCAGGATGGGGCCAGGCGACGACGACGACGACGGCGTTGACGACGACGACGACGACGACGTTGACGACGACTACGACGATTGAGCGTCAGTGGGTGTTGTCAAAGTTGAAGGAATGCGTGGAATGTGGACCTGGCACTGAGATGATTATGTCGAGCTGCTTCCAGACCATCGTAGGATCATAGGGATGTTAGACCGAGCAGTCGTAGGATTATATTGTAGCCCGATCTGGCTCCAATCCATACAGAGATTCTGTTACCATTGGAGCGAGCCTTGGTTTGATTCCTGTAGAGCTGAATATAGCCTCAGCAGCAGGGTTCGATTAGAGCCAGATCGAGCGCACTGTTGGATTCCATTCGAGGTGGCTCCAACCGTAGTTGGATGCTATCAGAGCTGCGTCCGCCTTTCGTATGCTTTTTTGAGTATGATCGAGTCCCAGAAACATTCTAGTACAGCTGGATCCAACGTTAGTGACACGATTGCATTAGTGCTGGATCGAGCCATTTGGATCCTGCCCTAGTAAGATTTGAGTAAGATCGGAGAGAGCCTTTGAAGGGGTCTATATGGGCTGGATCCATCCCTCCTGGATTCCATGAAAAGGGTAGATCCCAGCCTGGCAGCAGCCCTCTTCTAGAGCTGAATGGAGCCCTCGGCGTCGTCGTCGTCGGCGTCAGCCTCGTCGTCGTCGCCGTCGTCGAGTTGTATTCAATGTCTTACCCGCCTGACCCACATCGCTGGCGTCTTTTCACAGAATGCAGTTCGCATGTTGTGTTTCACCAGCCTTTCTGACTGGACCCCCGCTCGTCATCGTCGGCGTTGACGGCGTCGCTGTCGTCGTCGTCCTGGTCGCCGTCGCCCCCGTCGTCGTCGTCGTCGTCGTCGTCGTCGTCGTCGTCGTCGTCGTCGTCGTCGTTGTCGTCGTCATCGGCGTCGTCGATGCCCTCGGGAGCAGCCCCCGCCCCCCTCACAACCTTCCGTTCCGGTTCGAAGTCCGGTTCGAGTTCCAGGAATGCGGAGTGCCGATCCCCCCCCCTCCGGGTCGAACCAGGGGGGATTTTTTATTATCCCCAGTTTCCCGGAGGGGGCGGGGGGATGTTTTTGCAGCCGGGCGACAGTAGATCGCCTTCCCTCGCACATTCCATATCGTCCCTCCAGGCACGGTGGCGGATTATTTTTCCAGGGAATGTAGGATGCAGCTCTTGGGAGGTTAGTTTGATTTAGAGCAGGCGCTGGTAATTATATCTCTGCTCGGAAGTAGGCCCGATCTGGCCGAATCCAGTCTCATCCGGTTGATCCGGCTGAATCCCGCTTCAATTCAGCCTAATCTAATTCAATTTCTTTTTGAATTTGGCTTATTTGCTTTTTAACCGTTTTGACGAAGTCCTCCCAGGATTGGCCCCCCAAGGTTAAAAGGCTGCTGGCCTCTATTCGAAACCCGCTGCACGTATCCCACACACCCATGACCCATTACATATAGAACTCAACGTGTCGAGGATGTCAGTGCGATGCGTCATGCGCAGTGCTTACGCATAACCTCAACCCGATGCGATGTCGCGGCGACGCGGCATGGGATCGAAGCGACCAGTGGGTAGCCCTCCACAGCAGGTTGCCGACGCATTGGCGATGTGCTGCGCAGCTTCGCGCGTTGCCTAGGGGGCCATGGGGTACTCCACCTCCTGCGCCTCTTGCGTCCGTATCCACTTGGGCTCTGGGCGGGCTGCTCGCGCAACCCCGGCAAAACGCTACTCTTTGGTTCACGCCGCCAAGCGCAGGCCGTAGTTTGGCATCGATTGGTACCTCTTGGAAGCGAGGGTGGTCAAAAGCGAGGTAGGTTTGTTTCCCCCCTATGAATGGGAATCCGAGTTTTTTTTTTTGCAAAGGGATTACGGCCGCGTGGGCGCAACGCCGCACCATTTAACAAGGGGAAGCGGGGGGCGAAGGGGCGACGCCAGGGGAGTCCGCGAGGGATCTCCGGGCTTACATTTTTTAAAGGTCATTGTTCTCAGGGGAAACAAAGGAGCTGCATCGCGGAACCATCGGCGATGTTTCGTCGATTCCAAGCCGATCCCCCCCCCTATTCTCCATCCCCCCGTGTCGAGGAAACGCGAGCGTGGATTGAGCAGCGCGGGTGAGCGACGAGATCCGCTTCCGTACCAAATCGGCGCGCTCCGTCGCCAACTGAGGCGGCGCTGGCCTCCCCACGCGGTGAGGTGACCAACCGCGCCGTGTGGCGAGGCAATTCTGATTTCCGGGTGTAAGCACGTGTCGTTTTCCGAACGCGTCTCGGGCGTCTGGAGCCTCTAGGCTTCCAAGAAAAGTGCTGCGGCAGACCGTGCGTTGGGGTCTGCGAGGATTCTGAGGTCACCGCGCGGTCTGCCCGTCACCGCGCTGTTTCGGGGCACCCCTTGGTGGTTCCAAGGGGGGACAACGGGGTCGCGGGGGCCAGCTCGAGGACCGATGGGGAGCCGGCGGCGGACGCAGGGTGCAGCAATAGCTGGGGATGGTGTGTGTGTGTGCGTGTGTGTGTGTGTGTGTGTGTGCGTGTGTGTGTGTGTGCGTGCGTGCGTGTGTGTGTGTGTGTGTGCGTGTGTGTGTGTGTGTGCGTGTGTGTGTGTGTGTGTGTGTGCGTGCGTGCGTGTGTGTGTGTGTGTGTGTGTGAATGCGTGCGTGCGTGTGTGTGTGTGTGTGTGTGTGTGTGGGGGGCGAACCACATTTGTTCACCGCGTTGTTTCTCATCCTGCCGTTCCTGTGGCCTACATCCCCCCTGCTCCGTCTTCTGTGTGTCTTCCCTCTTTCTCTCTCTCTCTCTCTCTTTTTTCCAAGTGGCCACGACAGATCTCGCTGCCCGAGAGGCGCGCATCCCCGCCGTTCCCCGATAGAGGATTTGTGCGGCTTCCGATTTGCACTTCCCGTCGTGATGTCTGCTTGTAGTTGTTGTCTATTCGTCCAGCTTTTTTCCGTTGACGTAGGTTTGTGACCGTAGTCTCGCTTGAGGCCATTCGGGGCCCGTTACGGATGGCATAGTTAGTTCGAATGTTTCTGAGGCGGCGTCGGGCCACCTCGGCCGATTTGCAGGTTCTTTGGGTCATTGTTGGGGCCATGCGATACCGCATTGTGAACTTTACCCGCCTTCAATTTTTTGTAGCTGCTGAAAAGCTTGAGCGCGAAGGCGCGCGGCGCGCACGCGACAGCCACACTTTGCCGCCCTCAGTTCGCCTACATGTCGAAACGTTCCTGAAACGGTGAACGATTGGGGACATCAGCGGGGGACAGAGGAAGGGATACTCGCGAAGTAGGGAAAATGAAAGGAAAGAGGATGGACATGCTGGAGGAGTTGCATGTTTCAATGAAGGTGTTTATCCCGGGGCTTGTACCTTATATATATGTATATATATATATATATCATAAGAAAGGGGCAATGAGGTGCCACCAAACTAGTTGTTTGACCTCCTGCTTACAACAACAACAACCACAACAACAACAATGACAACAACGACAACAACAATAGCACAACACCAACAACATCAACAACACCAACACCAACACCAACACCACCAACAACACCACCACCGACAACAACAGCAGCAACGGCTCCCGCCTGATACACAATGTGTTCTCACATCGCGCTGTCGCGCGGTACTTTTTCACAATGTATTCGGGAATCGCGCTCGCGTGGGACTTCCGCGCCATTCATTCAGACGCCGCGCCCTCGACCTTCAGGACTCTCTCTCTTGCTATGGCCTTTGTCACGATTTACTTGGTCATCGCGCTATTGCTCGACACTTCTTCGCGATTCAAGCAAACGCACGCTTCAGTGACCCGCCTGCTCGACCTGGCCGCCTGGGTCCGCGTTGCCGACCCGCCAACTAGGGTCTGCCCGATCTGCCCGTCTGGTTCTGCCACGTCCTTTTTGTTCCCGGCCCCCCTCGTACTGTATCTCGTGTTCAATCCTGCTGCCTCCCCCTTGCGTTTCCTCGCATCAGTCCTCTCTTCCCCTGCCTGACGGCTGCACGCAATACACGTTGCAGGAAAGATAGATACTTTCCCAAGGGGGCACGATCAAAGACGAAGAGGGCGGGTATCGACGGTTTGGGATATACGTGTTGGATTGCATGCGAACATATGACAACGAATAGTCTTAAGATGATCGTCGTTGTTGTTGTTGTTTTTGTTATTGTTGTTGTCGTCGTCGTTGTCGTTGTCGTCATTGTCGTCGTCGTCGTTGTCGTGGTCGTAGTCTTCTTTCTCCTTGTTTCCTGATCTCTATCCCGCCAGCTCTCCTTCTCGCTTCCTCCTTCCCCTCCCTCCACATCATATGTTTGTCATCCTATTCCTTAGGAGGCTCAGAGGATGTCACCAACACCGATGTCGGCAGTTATCTCCGCCGAGGTGGACTGATCCTGATCTCGATGATGATGCCGACATTCTAGCCTTTCCAGGTAACCGAAAGGCTACCTTCAACACCAAAATCTCGGATCGCCTTTCTCCGGTGGAGACGCCCCCCTGTGTGTAATACTGTTGCCAATCTCAGAGATCCGACGTTGCGAAAAAAGTTGCGACATCAGGAACAATCGCGACCCCAGCTCTGGACCCCATTCTTCCAGCTGGGACGGTGCAGGCCCCATGGGGCCCGAAGCAGGGCAAGGGGGGGGGTCACGGGCAGAGGGGGGCCCTGCAGCCGCAGGAGGGCGAGGGCAGGGAGGGCGAGCGTGAGAGCGGGGGAGAGGACGAGTCAGCGGAGGTCGCGGAGCGGATCTCAGGGAGTTCCTGGGGACACCAAAAGGTACTCCGATGAATAAGCGTCGGGGGGGGGGCGTCACCCCCGCCGACAGCCCCACGTCGACCCCCGTCGCGGGCAGCTACCGCGCGCCGAAGGTGCCCCGACCCCCCTCGCGGCGCGACGACGAGGCGAGGTTGAACCCCCCCACGCTTATTAAGAAGCTCGGAGTGCCGATACCGCTCATCCCCGGACCTCCCCTGGGGTGCGTTCTAACTAGGATTTCGACGCAAATCCAGCCGTGGCGACGAGGGCCTCCCAGAAGGCACCAAATGGTGAAAACGAGGCAAGGGCAGCGGTATGGATACCTTTCCCTTCTCCCAATTCCTCTCCCCGCCTGCGTTGCTAGCCCGCTGCCCCCCCCACAAGGCGTGCCCTCGCCGTGGACGAAGGGCCGGCGCTCCTGCGAGAGCTTCCCGGTCGTTTCGGCCGCGCTCGAGGACACCGCCCGGGAGGCTTGGCTTGGAGAGGGGGCCCTCAGTGTCTTCTTCCTCCTCCTCTTCCTCCTCCTCTCTCTCCTCCTCCTCCCCCTTAACCTCCTCCTCCTCTTCCTCTTCCTCCTCCTCCTCCTCCCTCTCCCCCCTCCCCCTCTTCCTTTTCGTCCTTCTCCTCCTCCTCCTCCTCCTCCTCCTCCTCCTCCCACTCCTCCTCATCATCCTCCTCGTCCGTTTCCACTTTCTACCCCTCACGACAGCGTTTTTTTTATTTTCTTTTTTTTATATATGGGCGATCACAGGCGTTACGGGGGGGATAGGGGGGCGGGGCGTCGGTAACGTCACGTTTCGCGCAAGCGCCGTCTGGGAATGCCTAGGAATACCCAGAGACACTTCGCAGGTCAGCACGAATCGTGACGTTACCTGGGGTGGGAGTTGCGGGGCCACGAACGGCTGCCATCGAAGCATGAGAATTTTTTCCCCAATTTCCACCCTCCACCTTCCGCATCCCAGTCTCTGGCTATCGACGTCCCGCTCCGAGACATGGGGTTGCGTGCAAAGTGGCACAACTGTGGCGATTCGTACACCGGCGCCGCACGACGAGCATTTCTCCATTCGCCCTCCACTCCCCCATCCGCTGAAACGATAACGCACCAAGCACCCTGAAGCGTTACCCTGGCACCCTGGCATTTGGACGTACTTTAGACCTCCTCTGGAACCCCCAACAATCTTCGAAAGTGGCGAAGTGGAGGAACAGGAGTAGGAGAAGGAAGGATGCCCATTACGATATTCCTACTATCAATTACCTTCGCACTATCACCACGATTGTTATAAGTAGTCGTAGTCGTAGTAGTAGTAGTAGTAGTAGTAGTAGTTGTAGTAGTAGTACTAGTACTAGTAGCAGTAGTAGTAGTAGTAGTAGTAGTAGTAGTAGTAGTAGTAGTAGTAGTAGTAGTAGTAGTAGTAGTAGTAGTAGTAGTAGTAGTAGTAGTAGTAGTAGTAGTCGTAGTAGTAGTAGTAGTAGTAGTAGTAGTAGTAGTAGTAGTAGTAGTAGTAGTAGTAGTAGTAGTAGTAGTAGTAGTAGTAGTAGTAGTAGTAGTAGTAGTAGTAGTAGTAGTAGTAGTAGTAGTAGTAGTAGTAGTAGTAGTAGTAGTAGTAGTAGTAGTAGTAGTAGTAGTAGTAGTGGTAGTAGTAGTAGTAAGCTTAAGTCGTTGAAGTAGTATTAGCAGTTTAAGTAGTAATATGAGTAGAAGGTGTAGTATTAGTGGTCGTAGTAGTAGTGGTAGTAGTAGTAGTAGTAGTAGTAGTCGTAGTCGTAGTCGTAGTAGTAGTAGTAGTAGTAGTAGGAGTAGTAGTAGTAGTAGTAGTAGTAAGAGTAGTAGTATTAGTGGTGGCCGTAGTCGTAATCGTAGTAATAGTAGTGGCAGTAATAGTAGTCGTAGTAGTAGTAGTAGCAGTTGTAGTTGTTGTAGTAGTTGTAGTCGTAGTAGCAGTAGTAGAATGGAAGCAGTCGTAGGGCTAGTCGTAATAGTCGTAGTCGTTGTAGTAGTAGTAGTAGTAGTAGTAGTCGTCGTCGTCGCCGTGGTAGTAGTAGTAGTAGTAGTACTACTACTACTACTACAGTTACTATTTTAATAACAATCTGCATTACTACTACCATTACTACTGCTACTACTACTACTACTACTACCACTACTACTACTACTGCTCCTACGTTTTCGTCCTATTGGTACTACGACTACAGCCACTACTGCGATTATTGGTCAGATCACTTGTACTATTACGACTATCGCCACCTGCTACTACTACTACTATCACTACTACTACTACTACTACTACTACTACTACTACTACTACTACTGATACTACTCCTACTACTACTACTGTTACTACGACAACTTCAACATTTACTACTGCGACGACGACTACTACTGTTATTATTAGCCCGGCGGACTGGAATTGAATGTTCTTTGCGCCCCCAAGTGCAACGACATTGTGCCGCGCGTGGCGGGAGCGATACCCTGGGATGAACCTTTCCCAGGACAGCCGACGAAGGTCAATGTCTCATTCAGGATTACAAGGGGTCTCGTATGAGGCTGGGCTTGCGAAGACAAAGGGGCAAAAGGACGAGGAAGTCAGCTGCCCATCTTGAGCACTGGACTACTATTGTTGATTCGCTGAACTGATTCGCCAAGTACGACGTGTATTTCAGATTATTACTATGATCAGGTTTCTTTTTGCTACTACTACTCAGTACTACGACTTCTGTTGCTGTGAGTATTGCTGATATTAGCACGACTGCCACTACTTTTTCTACTAGTACTGCTAGTTTTTACTTTTACTACTACTACTACTACTGCTCGTACTTCCACTAGTCTTACTAGTACTATTCTGTCAAAGATTACTACTACCACTGCATTGTATACTAGTACTTCTAATCTTACGAAGTACGAGATTCTGAGCTTGGTCCTAGTCGTAGTCGTAGTCGTAAAAGTAGAAGTAGTAGTAATAGGTAGTCGTAGTAGTAGTAATCGTATTCGTAGTCGGCGTAGTAGTCGTAGTAGTAGTGGTAGCAGTAGCAGTGGTAGCGACACTCGTAGTATGATTCGTAGCATTCGTATTAGTATCAGTCGTAGTTACTACTACTACTACTACTACTACTACTACTACTACTACTATGACTACGAGTACTACTACAACAACAATTAGTACCCCTACGGCTGCGGCTACGACAACGACGGCAACTCATACTACTACTACGACTTCTACTACTACTACTACTACTACTACTACTACTACTACGACGGCGTCGACGACGACGACGACGACGACGACGACGACGACGACGACGACGACGACTACTACTACTACTGCTGCTGCTGCTGCTGCTGCTACTACTACTTCTTTTGTTCCCCAAGCAGTGCTTGTACTGAAGGGGTCCTAGCGGAAGTTGAAGGATTTTGCGAAAGTTCCCCGCCGATTTTGTTGGCAGGTTGGGTTCCCGGTTCCGGGTTCCCGGGTTCCCGCTTTGGGCTTCCGGGCCGACTTCGGAGGGCGGCGAGGTTCCGGGGTTCCCGGGTTCTTGGTCGATCTTCCTAGTGATCTGTCTCACCATCGATCTCAACACCGACTTTCCGATCGATCTCACCATCGATCTCACAATCGATTTCGTTATCAATCTCATAAGAGATCTCACTAGAGATCGCATGAGCGATCTCGCGATCGATCTCACTATCGATCTCATTGAATCGATTTCACTCTCGGTCTCACGTTCGACCTTACAATAGTCCTCACCATCGATTTCGCGATCGAACTCATTATCGATCTCACAACCGATCTCAATATTCATAGCATCAATGTTCAAGTCATCCGCTGAGCGGGTTTTCTCAGGCTTAATTGTTTTACGACGGCGACGGCTACTGTTATTACTACTGGTACTACTAGAACTACCACTAAGACTACGACGACGACTACTACGATGACGAGGACGACTACTACTACAACTACCACTACCACGATTACTACTACTACTACTATTACTACTACTACTACTACTACTACTACTACGACGACTACTACTACTACGACTACTACGACTACTACTACTACTACTACTGCTACTACTGCTACTACTACTACTACTCCTACTACTACTACTACTTCTGTTACCACCACTACTACTCATACTACCACTACTGCTACTACTACTACTACTACTACTACTACTCCTACTACTACTACTACTACTACTACTACTACCACTACCACTACTCATACTACTGCTACTACTGCTACAACGGCTGCTACTACTACCACTATTACTTCTACTGCTGCAACTACTACTGCTACTAGTATTATGACTGCTACTACGACTGCTGCTTCTGCGACCTTTGCTACTTCTTGTTCTTCTACTACTACTACTACTACTCCCTACTACTACTACTACTACTACTGATACTACTGCTACTACTACTACTACTACTACTACTACTACTACTACTACGACTACTACTACTACTACTACTGCTACTACTACTACTATCACTACCACTAGTAGTAGTAGTAGTAGTAGTAGTAGTAGTAGTAGTAGTACTACTACTACTACTACTACTACTACTACTACTACCACCACTGACGCTACTACGACTATTGTTACGGCGCGGGGAACACCATTTTTTTGGCCGGCTTGGTGCGGAGCTCCGAATTATCATGTTTCGTTCCCGTCCTAGCGATAACACAGGGGGAGTTTTTGTCATTGCTTCCGTCGGTTACATCCACTCGAAGACCTCGCTCAAGACCAAAGAGGGCTCTGGACCACTAGCGCTGGCCTCAGGGGCTCTGACCTGCGCTCTCGCCCTTTCCTGTTCCTGTTCGAAGAAATTTAATTGGGCAGGGTGGATCGCCAATCGGCCTCACAAGACTCGCGGTAATGTGGGGCCCCGACATCCACGACATAAGCGACCACCGACAACCATGCAACAGGCACGGGGGTCAGAGGAAGCAGTGGGAGGTTGACATTTCGCCATCCCTGGCAGCAGGCACGCTTTCTGCAGCTCATCAGCAGACGATGGTTCTCGTTTGCACAAGGCAGCACGCCATGGAACAGTCCAGAAACATCCAACACCACACGCAGCACGAACCACGCTTTCCACATGTGCGACTGGGGGGCCCATGCCCGCCCGCGCTGGGCTTCTAGGCCACCAGGCGGACACAGGCCCGCTCCGCTCTTCTCCGTTCCTCCGTTCGGAAGGGGCTCGATGTAGACGCCACGCCATTCGGTCGACCAGGGTTCCGGGGAGCTCGGCGAAGGCAGTCGGTGTATAAGCACTGCAGCGTCTTACAGGTTGGGCAGCTGGGGCGCCCATACATTGGGCTCCTTGGCCTACCCACAGACGTGATTTATACATCGTGCCCCGCCTCCTCCTCCTCCTTTTGCGTTGCGTTGCCTCTGCCTTGCCGAGGCGCAGCGTCCAATCCTTCTCCCGCCGCCTCCTGCTGCTGCTTCTGCTTCCATTGTTCTTGCTGGATCCTTCCGACCACTGCAGACGGCATGCCTGATCGCGAAATCGCCCAAGGGGTGCCGAAGTCTGGAGCGGATCCGGAGTCGGGACCTGGGACCTTGATTCGATTGGCATTGACGGCGTTCTTGATTGACGTGCTGCCCTGGTCCGCCTGGCCATCGTAGTCCGACGTTGGCCGTGGCAGTCTTCTTTGCCTCTCAAGCGTGTGGTCAGCAGCAGCATGGAGTCCAGCCCGTGTAGACGGCAGGGTCGGGTGTGAAAGACTCTGCGCTCCTGCTCGTGTTCCTCCTCCTCCTCCTCCTCCTCCTCCTCCTCCTCCTCCTCCTCCTCTCCAGCAACCTTCTGGCGGCTCGAGCAGAAGTCGCGCCACTTGTGGTCTGTCGTCTGCAGTCTTCGGCGCCGACGGCGCCGTTGCCAGCGCCACGGGCGGCAGCCGCCAACGGGCTCCCGGATGCCAAGCTGGTCCTGAGAAGCGGGTCGAGAGATGCAGGGTGACGGGGCTCGAACAGAATCGGGTCGTTCGAGATATGGGCCCCTTTGCCCCGTCATCCTCTTCTTCGTCCTCCCGCTTTCCCGTCTCGTCATTCCTCCTCCTGGCCCTCGATTTCCTCCCTCCCTCTCCTCCTCCTTCCTGCTCCTCCTCTCCTCCTCTCCCCCTCCTGCTTCCTGTAGGACGCAACTCCCGGAAGGTTACGGTCAGAATTGGCGCTGGTACGTCCAGGGTCGAACGCCGGCCGAATCGGGCTTTCAACGAATCCCGTTTCATTCCGAATAGTCCCGTTCTATTTAGTTTGAGCCAGGTGCTTCCCGGGCTCAGTCCGGGTTGATCCGGCCTAACGGCTCCGTGATCAAGGTTAATACCAGGAGAGCAAACCTTCCCGACCCCCGCAAACGGCGTTTATTAAGCAGCCCTTGGCGTTTGCCAAACAGGCCTTGTTCAATCCCTTCCATAGGTGCGTTAGCTAGATTGCTTCGCGTGTCGGGGTGCTTTGTGTGAGGATTGTTTGTTCTGCCCGCTATCATAGTCCCTGATTGGCCTCACGAAGACTTCCCGGGATTTGCTTCCTAATTGTCTTAGGCCCCCCGCGTGTTTGGGGGGGGGGTGCGGGGAGGAGGGGGTGGGAGTAGATGGGGAGAGGGGCAAGCAAGAGGAGGGGGGGATGAGGAGGAGGAGGAGGAGGAGGAGAGTAATCAGGAGGGGCAAAACCACGTACGCACACAAATGAACGCGTTTCCGCAGGAAAATAATATGGAGCATGTTTGAAGTTGAGGGCAAGCAGTAGGGCGGTTTTGTTTTTGTCTCTGAAGGATTGGGCGGCTATCTCTGCAACTGTATGGCGGAAGCAGCGGCGGTAAACTAGGGCGGGGAGCAACATCAAAGAAGCTTGAATCGTAGGGTGGACATGTCCGCCCGACTCATGACACCGCCTAGAAATCGGCGGCGAACCCAGGGGGGAAGTGAGAAGGGGCGGGCCTCCACAGAAGGCTCGGAAGTCCCCCAGCCCTCTGAGAAGTTTTCGGTTTCCCAAGCTTCCCACGACGACGCAGAGAACCTCTCAGAAGGCCGGAGGCCTTCTGAGAAGCCCCGCCGCCTTCTGAGAAGAGAAGGCCTTCTCCTTCTCTCAGAGCCCCGAATCATCAGGGGTAACTCGGGTCAGGGTTAACTCGGGTTCGCTTTTCGGGAATCCGAACCCGAGTTCCCCGGACCCGAGTTACCCCGGATCATCCGGGAATCCAGAGCCCCACATCATCGGGGGCAACTCGGGTCAGGGCTAACTCGGGTCCCTTTTTTCGGGGATCCGAGCCCGAGTTACCCCGGACCCGAGGTACCCCGGATCACTCGGGCGCCCAATTCTCACCTCCCCCCAAGGCGCGCCGCCGATTGAAAGTGCGGCGCGTCCGCACTCAGCTCAGGAGGGAAAGAAAGACACAGACACAATTCATCGGCGGGAAGACAAACACCCAGCAACTATGGGAAGATATGGGGCATATTTTGATTTGTGTGTATTTATTGGTGTGTCCCAGGGCCCCTTCACCAGCCCCCCCCCCCCCCCCCAGCCGGCGGGTCGGCGGGTCGGCGGCCGCGCGGCGAGGCGTCTGGGCAGCCCCTCTCCCTCGTGGTCTACGACGCGAGGGGCCACGGCGGCTCCACAGGCGGGGCCCCGCGGGGAGTGTTTTTTTTCGGAGGTGGACAGACCTCCTACCCTGACAAGTCGAAGTCTTACCCTGACAAGTCGAACAGTGAATGGGCAGCCCCTCTCCCTCGTGGTCTACCACGCGAGGGGCCACGGCGCCTCCACAGGCGGGGCCCCGCGGGGAGTTTCTCCGGGCGTGCCCCGGAGCAGGCGGCTGGGCGCAGAGTGTCTCGGAGGCAGCCCCTCTCCCTCGTGGTCCTGACAAGTCGAAGTCTTACCCTGACAAGTCGAACAGTGAATGGGCAGCCCCTCTCCCTCGTGGTCTACCACGCGAGGGGCCACGGCGCCTCCACAGGCGGGGCCCCGCGGGGAGTTTCTCCGGGCGTGCCCCGGAGCAGGCGGCTGGGCGCAGAGTGTCTCGAAGGTGGACAGACCTCCTACCCTGACACGTCGATTGAGGAATCGGCCGCTTTCGGTTCGCGAGAGGGCGTCGCGGCCGTCATTTTTGCGGGTCCAGGTCCGTCGGTTTCGGTCCCAGGCCGTTTTCACTAAGGGGAGGTCTACTAAAGGGAGGTTTGTCCACCGCCGATTTTTCCGGGCGTGTCCTGGAACAGGCGGCTGGGCGCAGAGTGTCCAGCAGGGGAACGAACCATGACAGAGACATCAGGACTTGTGGGTCCACGCACATTTCTCAAATCGGCTCTGGATCCCCCTGGCGGCGCCTCCGGCGTCGCCCCCGTCGCGCTCCGCGCGCCAGGGGGGGGGTCCAGCGCCGATCCGAGAAGTCCGCAAGGACCTCCGGGTTCTGCATGCTCATGTCACTGCTCGTTTCCCTATCCAAGGCCCCCAGACGGTGTGGTGACCACCGCGTGTGATGAATCGGTTTGGATGCGGGGTCACCGCGCGGTGTTGGGCCTGGGCCGTTCTCCGAGGACGTCTCTCGGGGCCTGCGAGGTCCCACGGCCGTGTGGTGACGGTCCCTGGGCGAGGTCTTTGCGGATTTCGAGGTCACCGCCGGATCTGTCACCGCACGGTTTTCTTTGGTGGGGGGGAGGGAGAGGGGGGGCAGGCTTCTTGGAAGGAGGCTGTTTCGTAGAAGGCGCGGGCCTGCCATAGGCTTCTGAGAAACAGCCTCCTTCTTAGAGGCGTTCACCCCTCCCCCTGCCCCCCTCTGCGCTTCGCCATCCTGCGGGGAATGCTTCCGGGCGTGTCCCTGAACAGTTTGCAGGGCCTATTCCGATCCGATCGATCCCCTGCGATATCGTGGTCGGCCAGGTTGATCGGATTCGTTTTCAGTTTCCAGGCGATCCGATGCGGCCCGATGCTTACAGAGCGCTGCTGTGCATCCTGGCGCGGCCGATCCGATTCCATTCCGACTCCGTGCCGATGCGGCCCGATCCAACGCACATTCCGATTCGATTCGAATTCCTGATTCGATGCTGTCCGATCTGATTTATTTTTCTGATAATAAGCACGCGTTGACCCGAGCATACGTTCTGAGGATCATCGATCCTAAAGAGGGCTCCGCGGGGAGTTATTTTTTGTGGGAGTTTCTCTGCACAATCACTATGTCAGGGTTCGCCCGCTGGCGCCTTTGTGCCTCAGATAGCAGCGGATGCGTTCTGCCGTTTTTTCTTGACCGCTTGTTGGACCCAATTCGCCTCAGACCAACAAACTTCTGTAACGGTTCTGTAGATTGCTTCTAACGCCCAGTGATGGAGGATGACGGGGCAATATCTAACGTCTGCAGCAGTTGGGTATTATTCTTCCGTCATCCTCCTTGAACATTCGTCCGTCTGCCCCCCCTTCCTCCGCGTCCTTTTCGTACCTTCTCTTTCTCGTTCCTCGTCGTTGCAATTTTTCCTACCCCTGCCTTGTTCTTCTCCCTTCTCGGTACATTCAGCATTACTCATCCTCATTATCCTCTTTCTCCAGCTTCCCTCCTTGTCCTTGGCCTCCTGATGCTCATCGTCCTTGTCCTCGTCATCGTCCCTCATCCCTTATCATATTCGTTCTCAGTGTCTTGGTCTGCATGGTCATGTTCCACTTGTATCTTCACCCCATTCATCATCCTGACCGTCATCATCCTCGCTGTAGTACCCCTTCAACATTGACCCCAGACATCTCCTGCAGCGCGCTCTGGGTGAGTAGTCGATGAAAAAGATGAGAAGGAGGACCTTCCCCCTCCCCTTTTAAGCTCCTAATCCTCCTCTTTCTTCAGAGCCCTCCCCGTCCTCGTACCTCCTTCATCTCTGCCTCTCGGTCTACAGGCTGGGAGCCAGCTGACCACAACAGGGATCATGTCAACCAGCAGTTCCACTGGAGGAGCTTCATCGTGCTCCTCCTAGCTCCCTATGCCTCCACCTCCCCCTCCTCCACAGACCTCCAAGCGCCGCCAACAAACTCGCCACGACCGCGTTTGTATGCCATACGCCAAGCAGTGCCTGCACTTAGCGGCTCTGGCTTCTGTTCTAAGGGATTGGGCTTGTCTGCTGGTCCGAAGGGCCCCTTTCTCGTCCGTTGCTGCCCCAGCCTTCCAAATAAACGGACCGTCTGCGGGCCCGAAGGCCCCGTTCTCGCCCGTTGTTGCCACATGTTTCCCCAAGCAATGCTGCATGGCTGTGTGTTGCTTTGCATTGCTGTACATTGCTTTGCGTTGCTGTGCATTGGCTTGCATCTCATGGTTGTGCATTGCTCTGCATTGGTTGCAAGGCATCACTGTTTGGGGTCGACGCTGGCTCACATGTTTTTCCTATGATATGCAGATTTCGAATTCCATGTGCCGTTTTTGAGATCAAGGGCAATTCAGGTAACGACCGTCGATAACATTACGGTCCTCGGGAGGGGGGTCGAGAGTTCTGGAGCCCACGCAATTATTGGGAAGCTCACTCTTGTCGCTTTCCTCTCCATGCCCCTTCCTCTCATCCGCCTCCTCGCCCTCCCTCGAGCCCCATGCTTCTCGCCCTGCTCCTTTTTCTCCTGGATTCGTCCTCGTCTTCCTCTCCAGTCTCTCGCCCTTCGTCCCTCCTTCGCCCCCCCCCTCTCCCTGTACTCCCCTCCTCTCCTGCCCCTCCATCCTCCCCTGTCCCTCCTCCCTCGCCCTGCTGGCGCCGGCTCGGCCCGAGCCGCTCGCGGTGCGCGAGCCCGTGCCGCTCGCGTCCTCTCACGCCGCCCCGCTCTCCGCCGCGCGCCCCTCTATCCTCTCCCGTCGGGCGAAGAGAACTATGCACATGCACCGATCCTGGCAAGGCCCATTTTTGACCCAGGATCGGTGCATATGCCTTCCTGGCCAAGGTAGGAGGGCGTATGCACCGATCCTGGGCTCAGGATGGGCCTGGCCAGAATCGGTGCATGTGCATAGTTCTTTTCCCTCTATCCCGATGGCCTCGAGTGCCCAAGAGGTGGGGAGGCTCCGATTCTCCCACGACGGCGGCTTCGAGTTCTGCGACGACGACGACGTCGGCGGCGGCGGCGGCGGTGGGCACCACCGGTGCCGTCGAGCAGGATCGGAGGAAGAGCAGCGGAGTAAGATGCATGCGGCGGAAGGCCGTGCCAAGAAACGCCCTGCCTGCCTCCAGGGTGCCGTGGGTTTCTAGGGGTTCGCTGGTTCTGCTATGGGGAGCCTGCGATGCCCGCACCGAAAATCAACCAATGGACGTCCTGGGGTCTCTCAGGGTTGGGTTTCTTGCAGATGGTGCCTCGTGGTCGAGCCCCCTACTGTAAACATAGACCCTCGGAGCTCCGCGCGGCTCTCGTGGATCGGTGCCCGGGACCCCTGGCGGCGCCTCTGGCGCTCCTCCTCCTCCTCCTCCTCCTCCTCCTCCTCCTCCTCCTCCTCCTGCTCCTGGCGCGCCTCGTGCGCCAGGGGTGGGGGCCACGCGCCGATCCGAGGAGCCCGCGCGGACCTCCGAGTGGCTGGCCGATGCCGCTGCCGTCTTTGGTTGCCTCCTGGTGCAGGCGCTGCGCACCGAGGGGTGCCGCCGGGGAGAAGACAGGGCGATGCGATACGGTGCGATGCGACCCGCATTCCAGCCGCCGTGGGGCGGTCCTCTCAGAGGGCATCAGACAGTCCGAACCAGTTCTTGGGTGGAGCGCTGCCCACAGAGGGCCCGCGCGGCGCCGCGGGCGCAGGCTGCCGAGCACAGGCTCGTGCCGTGCAGCCTGAGCCCTCCAGGTGCTCGCGCGCTGCTTCCCCGCCGCGGGTTCGGTGGAGACGTGTGCGGGCCCAGCCGCCCTGGAGGTGAGGTCCGCCCATCGGGCGTGGCGGGCACCCGGCTTGGACGTGCCCTTCCAGTTTTTAAGCTGATATGCAAGAAAGCTTTCCTCTTGTGTTCTGAGCACTCATACGCGTGTTGCGAGCTCTACGAGGGTCCCAGCGGTACCCTGGATGACGGTTTACCGCCGGCTCCCAGTCCGCAGCGCCTTGCTTGATCGTGCGGCGGCGTCCGGCGAGGGCAGCAGCTTTGGGCCCGCTGTGGTGCGCCGAGACACTTCGCAGATGCCCGCGAGCAGGTATCAGCATTACCTGATCGCGGCCGCCAGAGGAAGGAGGCTCGAAGGAGGTAGCATCAGAACTGTTGGGCGCAGCGTTGCGACAGGCTTTTGCAGCTCGTGCCCAGTGGTGTCGCTGGCGAGCACTGTGCTATACTGTGGTCCAACGTACTCATGCTGTGCTCAGCTGCCCCCATACATTTGTGGTCGTCGGATTCTTTCTGTGCCGTGTTATTGGCCGTGTGGGCTCCGTCTTCAACGCTGGTGTCCTTTCGCGTTCGGCCGCAACTTGGTGTTGTGCAGCCTGCTGGTGTTTAGCCTCGCCGAGGAACTGATCGGCACGAAGCTCATCGGCATCAACATGGTTTGCATTCACATGTTTGGAATGCACATGTTCTGCGTGGGTCTGCTCGGCGTGCACATGCTTACCGGGCACCAGATCTCCCAACCATCCTATCCTGTGGTGTTGGGTCCTCGTTTTGATGAAGAGACGGTCCCCGCGTTCCTCTCCTCTTCTCCTCCTCTTCCCCCTCCTCCTCCGAAGCAGATGTTCACAATGGCGGTACTCACAACTGCATATCGTTTGGTCTTTCGCCAGGCTAATGTTTGTGGGGATTTGGCCACTGATTCTCCCAGAGCGGCGCGGCGGGCGCGCCATAGAGCGCGCTGCGCGTGCAGCTCCATGGGCGGGGCTGTTGGTTGTTTGCCGTGTCTGGGTCCTGTCCCGCTTGGCCTCTGCCGCGTGTTTCGCATCCGCGTGCCTGCGGTCGTCGGATCCCGTCGGTCCGCCGTGCCATCCGTGGGGGGCTCCTGTCCGCCTCGCGCTGCGGCAGCGGCGCCCATCGGCCACGTGTGCTGCCGTCGGCCTTTGCCGACGGAGCGCGGGTCTGTCTGCTGCTGCGGCGCTCTCTTGCCGGGGAAACGTGGGACTCGAGTAAGCCTGAGTTCGGGTTGGCCGACATTTCTTGACGAGCGCGTCTTGGATTTCGACGGCCCGGTCTTCGTGGGATGTTTGCAGCGGGAGCTCGCGTCAAGGTTCGGATTGGGTTTCGTCATTTTCATGATGGCCCCATCGGGCCAACCCGAGTCCCCCGTACCCGAGTCTTACGTCTCCCCGATCTTGTTAAGTTGGGTTGACTCATCCATTGTGTGTCGTCGCCGTCATCTTCCTTTGTTTCAATTGGTTGTCGCCGCGCCTATTATCCATCTTGTCGCGCCCTTTTGGTGAGGTGGCCTTGCTGCCAAAACCGCCAATCCCGAAATCCATCCCCGTGCTCATCCTCATTATGTTTTGTTCGACAAGTGAGAAGATGAAGGCCTTATCAGAAGGCGGCAGGACTTTTCAGAAGCCTTCCAGCCTTCTGAGAGGTTTTCTGTGTTTCCGGGGAAGTCTTCAAACACATGTCAGAAGGCCAGGGAATTTCCGAGCCTTCTGAGAAAGCTTTCTCCTTCTCACTTCCCCCCCGGGCTCGCCGCCGAACATCATTCCTTTTCTGTTTTCCTTTTTCTTATCCTCTCTACTTTCCATTCTCCCCGCCCGCATCAATCCTCCGTCTGAATGTCGTCGTTGCCAATCTCCTCTCCCTCCTCCATTTGCCCGCTCTCCTGATTTTCTTTGTGCCAAGGCCCCAATTGTGTAGCCGATGACGAGGGAGTACTATTTCAGCATCTGTGGGTGGCCTCTTTCCCTATCTTGCTGTCTCTGTCTCTCTTTCATTATCTCTGCTTCTCTGCGTCGCTTGCCTGCTTCAGGGTTGCATGAATTTTGTGTTTCTCTTCGGCTTGGCAGTCCGCATCGATGACAGTTTCGTGTGTACCCCTTCCTACGTTGCGCTAACTTTGCCGAGCGGAGGCGCACCGTTTGAGACGCCGACGGGGGGAGAACAACACCTCAGAGCGACGTGCGTGTGCGAGCAACTAGTTCGATGTCTGATCGTCTTGGCAGGCTAAGCGGCGAGAAGCGGTGCGACTAATTGTATCCCCCTCCACTTTCAGGCGGCACGCCGTGGGGGGAAGAAAAAGGGGCTGGGGCGTCTCAGAAAGCGGCGGGGATTCAGAAACCCTGGAGACTTCGACAACTTCCCGGAACGCCAGAGGCCTCCTGACTTTTTTGGAGGAGCTCCGCCCCCTCTGCCTTCCCCCCTCGGCGCGCCGCCGATGTATCCCTCACCTCCACAGACCAGGTGAGGAGGAGCGGTGCGACGAACTGCATCCCCGCCCCCGTCCTCCCCACCTGGAGTGACGCCAGGAGACCAAACCGCCCAAGCTGCCCGCGTAACGTCTCGCGTGGGCGCCCTCGTTGCCACGATGGCGGCCCACGCACGCCGCGGCTCGAGGCCGCTATATGCCTGCCTGCGTGCGGCCCCGCGGCTTCTCGGCGCCCGGTCGTCCTCCACCGGAGGAGCCTCGCGGTGGATATGCTGTTCGTGGCCGACCGCCACAGGCGGGCCGGGTGCGCCACACTGTGGGTCGGGGTCGGCAAAGAGTGGGTTGATGACTAAGGGGGGGGGGCCATGATATTTCCCCAGATTCCATGGCGCCTCTTCTTAATTCATTACGTCCCCAGCTCCGCCCCCCTGGGCCGCGCACATGCCGCCAGTCATGATTTGCACGCGCCCCCTCTTGGACGCCCCCCTCTTGGCCGCCCCCCCGCCTGGGGGGGGGAGATGTGTGGCAGGGTTGCTGGGCAGGGTGTGGCGCAGTGCCGAGATCGGACGGTCATGGCGGCGGTGGCCAGGAGTCATAAAGAAAGGTCCGGAGTGTGAGGAGGACGCGGGATGCATGTGATGATGTTGATGGTGATCATGCCTGTTTTTGTTATGGTGTTGATGGCAGTGATGGGGATGAGGATGACGACGGTGACGCTGCCCTTCATGATTGGAGTGAGGGTGAGGATATTGCTTGCGGTGATGAGGCTGTTGACGATGGTGCTGACGCTGCTGCTGATAATGATGTTGGTGATGACGATGAGAAATAATCGAAGATGCTGATACTGATGGGGAGGTTGCTGCTGGTGCTGATGTTGATGTTGCCGATGCTGATAACAACGGTTCTGATTTTATGATTGTAAATCTGTTGGCGATGCTGATGATAATGGTGATGACGGCGACGGGAATGGTGATGAACATTATGAATGTTGTGTGATGGGAGATGGTGATGTTGACATTGATGATGATGACGACATGACGATGGTTATGATGATGTTGATGATTATGATGATGAGGATGATGATGCTGCTGGTGCTGATGCTGATGCTGATGCTTATGATGCTGATGGTATTGATGCTGATTTTGATGGTGATGCTGATGCTGCTGATGCTGATAATCATCATGATGGTGCTGCTGCCGATATGTTGGCGGTAGTGACGAACAGCAGGATGAGGATGACGATGATGATGACGATGATGACAACGATGATGATTCTACGATTGATGATGATAATGATGACGATGATCATGATGATTTTGATGGTGGTTGTGGTGGTGTTGATTCTGATGGTTATTATTCAACTGGTGCTGCTGGTGGCGGTGGTGACGATGGTGGTGGTGATGGTGATCGTGACGATGCTGCTGCTGCTGCCGCTGGTGATGCTGCCGACGATGACGACGACGATGACAATGACGATGACGATGACAACGACGATGACAATGACAATGACGATGATGATGAAGAAGGCGATGCTGATGGATGATGGTTATCATGTTGATGCTGATGATGCTGATGATGATGCTGCTGATGATGATGATGACGATGCTGTTGATGCTGATGATGATGATGATGAGGAGGAGTCTGATGATGCTGATGATAGTGATCGTGATGGTGATGGTGATGACTGCGATGATGATGCCAACAATGACGACGATGACGATGCTGTTGATGATGATGGTGATGTTGGTGGTGGTGGTGATGGTGATGACGATGGTGGCGATTGTGATGCTGATGATGATGACGATGATGACGTCGATGATGATAAGCATGATGATGATGCTGATGATGGTGATGCTGATGCTGATGATGATCATGATGATGACGCTGATGATGCTGTTAATGATAATGACAACGCTGATGATGTTGATGATGCTAATGATGATGCTGATGCTGATGCAGATGAGGAGGATGCTGATGGTGCTATTGCTGATGATGATGCCGATGTTGGTTATGGCGATGATGGTAATGCTGATGATGATTCTGATGATGGTGATGGTGACGATGACGATTACGACGATGCTGCTGGTGAGGATGGTGATGTTAACGATGAGCATGATGCTGATCATGATGATGATGCTGATGATGATGATGGTTATTACTATTTGTATGATGATGAGTATGATGATGACGATGAATGTAATGATGATGATGATGATGATGATGATGATGATGATGATGATGATGATGATGATGATGATGATGATGATGATGATGATGATGATGATACGACTGATGCTGTTGTTAATCATGATGGTGGTGATGATGGTGATGGTGATGATGCTGTTGCTTTTGTTGGTCATGGTGGTGGTTGAAGGTGAGCAGGAGGAGCAGGAACAGGAGAGTAAATGAGGGTATGAGAGGTGGGGAAGGATGATGATGATGATGATGATGATGAGGATGAGGATGAGGATGAGGATGAGGATGAGGATGAGGATGAGGATGATGATGATGATGAAGAAGAAGAAGAAGATGATGCTGATGATGCTGATGATGCTGCTGATGATGCTGCTGATGAGGAGGAGGATGAGGAGGAGGAGGATAATAGGGAGGAGGCATCGAGTGACAGGAAGGGTCGCTGGGGAGGAGGATTATAATTGGGCGCATGGACTAAGCCGACAGGCGCGTGGGAAAAGTTCTGGCGGGTTCATCGTCCCGCTGTGTAGGCGTTCAGGAGACGAGGTGGGACCATGAGATCCGCAGAAGTGGTCCGCGGCGAACAACAATTTCTCGAGGATGGGGTCGGGAGCCAGGACGTCGAAACAGCCCAAAGATCCGACGCTCCAACAAAAATTGGAGAGAGCGTTTCTGTCGTTTTCGGCCTCGGGGGGCCCTCGCCGGGCCCCCTGGAGCGTCAAACAACGACTCGGGACCAAAAACCGGCCCCAGGGGAGTGGCCCAGACCTCCAGGGCCCACGCATCGAGCACACTGGAGCAGCAGGATGTCTGGGAGGGTTCCGTGCCAGGGTCCGCCGTTCTGCCCCGAGGCCCCTGACTGGTCAGGGCCTGGAAGCCACACGGATCCGACCCGGGGTTTCGGAGCTGCTGCTCGGCAGGCCCAGTCTCGGGGCATGGCCGCCAGGACTGGCGCGGGTCTGCACCGGCTGGGGTCATCTCAGGAGGGAAAAAAACACACAGACACAATTAATCGTCGCCTCCCAGGAAATATGGGAAAATATGGGAAGTGGGGGGGAAGACAAAAACCCAGAAAATATGAGAAAATATGGGGAATATTTGTACTTGTGTGTATTTATTTGTGTGTCCCGGTTCCCCTTCATCATCACGCGCTCGATCATGGGCCCCTTGTTGACGCGAAGCATCCTGCTTTCACACCGATGACCGCCGAAAGCCGTGTCGGGCCGCCGCCCAGACCGCCGAAAGGCCACTGGAATGACCACCGAACCCCCTCGGAGACCGCCGACAACCCGACCGCCGAAGGCCGCCGAAATGCTCTCGGGGGCGCGCTGGCCCGGTCAGCGCGTCCCCGAGAGAAAGTTCTGCGCCAGCATGGGGAAGCATTGCCCCAGAAAACAAGGTCGCCCTCGAGGGCGCGAAGTTATTCGCGCTTCGCGGTTCGGCTCCGATTCCTCCTCATCCTCCTCTTCTCCCCTGGGAGGCGGCGCGAGAGCGCGAAGTTATTCGCACTTCGCGCTTCGCGCAGCGCGAAGCGCGAAGTTGGGGGCCCTTAAGAAAAGAGCTCTCGCTAGGGTTTGCAGCTGTGCTCTGTGCCCGTCGTGGGGGGCCACCGCGGTGGGCAATGAGCACGACAAGGACCACGAGGCAGCGGCAGGAAGGAGACGGGAAGAGGGGAGAAGCTAATTTTGGGATGGCAAGTGCGGTGTTCGGAGAGCTTGCTGCCCGGCGCAGACCACGCAAATGTGAATTGACTTCGGCACATGCGGCGCTCGAGGACAGAGTCTTGCTGTGTCGCTCGAGCTGTCGCTGTGCCGACGAAGCCAGCGCTGCCGAGTGGCATATTTCTGGTCGTCCTCTCTCTTTCCTTTCCTTCCCCTTCAGTGCCCCGCACAGACAGAAGAGGGGGGACAGATTAGCGGCTGTGCCCTGCAGCGCAAACATCAGCAGGTGGGTACGGAAGGCATGCAGATCAACAACGAAAACATGGTTTGTACGCTGGCCACGCGGGTCTAGCGCTGGAGTTTCAGTCTTACAGAGAACGGATGGCCGCGGCCTGTCTTAATAAGACAGGCCACAGGATTGGCCAGGATAGTATCATTTCATGTTTGAACTGGACTGTCGTGTGTAATATACAGACGTATGCAGGCGTAGTCCTCCGCAGTTGCGGATTCATGTGAGGGGGCGTCGGGGACGTCGGCATAAATTATACAACGAGCTCGCCACGCGTGCCGATTTTTTAATTGAAGCAATGTGGATTGGTCGCGGGGTGGGTCGCGTGTGGGTCGCGGGTGGTTCACGGGTTGGTCGCGGGTGGGTTGCGGGCCAGGTCGCGGGTTGGTTGCGGGTGGGTCGCGGGGTGGGTCGTGGGTCCCGGATGGGTCGGGTCGCGGGCGTATCGCGGGATGCGTCGCGGTTGGGTCGCGGGCCGGGTCTCGTGCCAGGTCGCGGTTGGGTCTCGGGTGGCTCGCGGGGGTCGCGGGGGACGACAACAAAAAGCAGCACACAACAAACAATTAAAACAACATTCCGCACCGCAGAACCTTCTTTCAGCCACGTGCCCAGGGACAGTGAATGACCGTTCGGCCACTTTACTCTGATATATCCGTAGCACCCCGCAGTTGCAGATAAGAGTGAGGGGGCGACGGGTACGTCGGCAGTCTGCGAGGCTCTGAAAAAGCCCGCCACAGGTGCCTAATTTTTACACATTTCACAACGAGCTCGCCGCAGGCGCCGATTTTCTGTTGAAGCAATGTGGGTGGGTCGCGGGGTGGGTCGCGGGGTGGGTCGCGGGTGGATCGCGGGTGGGTCGCGGGCCGGGTCGCGGGTTGGGTCGCGGGTGGGTCGTGGGTTGGTCGCGTGTGGGTCGCGGGTGTGTCGCGGGCGTGTCGCGGGGTGGGTCGCTGGTGTGTCGCGGGTGTGTCGCGGGCTGGGTCGCGGATGGGTCGCGGGGGGGTCGCGGGGGGGTCGCGGGTTGGGTCGCGGGGGGGACGACGACAACACACGGCCACAAACAACAAATAAGAAACAACAAACAACAGGTTCAACAACAACAACAACAACAACAACAATCATTTAAGACTTGGGACACTCCGTTCTCACCAGT